TCGTTTTAGCATAGAATTATGGTCCCAGGTGTCCTCTTTCATAATCTGAAAACCGCAGCTCTCTAGCTCAGTCCGTTCTCAAGTTATTCAAAAAACATCCGTGTTCTTTATATTTTGAAGTGGATAGCAGAGCTCCGTATGGACTCAAATTTTTGAGTCCAGTCCAGCCCATGGACTAAAAAAGTCTAGTCCAGTCCAGTCCGAGTCCATGAAATCCAAAAAATCTGAGTCCAGTCCAGTCCACATGGACTGTGCTGGACTGGACTATGGACTCAGTCCATTCCATACGGAGCTCCGGTGGATAGTAGTATTCACGTTGGACAATCAACATTTAACTAGAAAGTGAAATCATCGTATAGTGCTTAGAACCTTGAGCTATAGCCCATGTCAATTTTCAGAATTGGTTTGCATATAGAGTAAGTACTGACAGTAATAATAATCATTTTAATATTCTCATAGACGATGATTTATTATTCTATTACTTCATTTTATTGTTTTTTGTAGACATTAGATTTGCTTGAAAAATTTCGTGCAAAACTTCAAGCAGCAAAAGACGTAAATGAACCAATAATGGAAAATGTATCATTCAGTCAACCGGTGAATGAAACAAAAGAAGAAATAGTTGCTGATCATGTTAAAGATGATTTTTTGAAACATCGTTTTGTATCTGATGAATTAATGGATGTAACAACAAATATTTATGATACAGACCAATTAGCCATATATGATCCACGAAATCCAATGACAAAACGTCGACGTGAAGAAAGTAGTTTAGCCATGAAATCGAAACGGAAAGCTCGTTCTTGATTTGACTATCAATTTTGTAAATTTTGCACATTGTAACAACTATTGTTTTTTTTTGTTTTTTTTGTTGGTAGTATTCTAATTCTCAAAATAAAAAAGGACTATTCGTATGCTAAAAGAGATGAGTTAGATCAAGTTTTTTTACGTATACATGAACACGAAAGTGCGTTCATAAAGATAAACTTGATTTAATTTCTTTTAGTGAGAACATGCAACATTCATGCACAGGTAGTTGTCAACATGTGGATGAAAGTGATCGTGGTAAATGGGATTTATACCAAAAAATTGATTTGAATAATCTCCAATGTTTGAATGAACAACGCAACGGAAGTGGAAAAGATGTCTTCCGCTGTTGGGATGAACGGTTAGATCGATCAAAGGTAGTTTATGAATTACTTGATCATTGACTTTTTACTTTTGTTTCTGTGGTTGTAGTTTGTGGAAAGTGATGACGATCCAGAACTACTGTTTAAGATACCGTAAGTGTTAATGTTCGCCATTATGACTCGAGAGAGATAGTGAAAAGATTTTTGAATTCTACCGTGTCCTCTTTAGATTCAGTGGAAATATCAAATTAACAGGAATTTGCATTATTGGAGAAAATGAAGGTAGCCATCCAAGTCATGTTAAATTGTGAGTAGATGTGATCGTCAGAATGTAACCCTCTTGTAAGACGTGGATCTATAGTGGATAGTGAAGTTTAGGATGGTGGTAGATCAGAAAAACCTCCAGCAACTAGACATTCGTGGATTTTAAATCTAACTGAAGATATAGACTTCGAATGATGGCAAGGCATCCACGTACAGTTAACGTAAATCGATATTTCTAGGGTTTGTCATTAGTCTGATCTAAACTTTCTTTCCGAACAACTATATTCAAAAATACCTGGCACAAGATGATGAGAAGGATGGATGAGGCCAATTAGCGATAAGATGACATCAGCATGAAATATCAGTCTGAGCCTTTCTATGAACAGCCATTAAAATACAGTCGATTTTGTATATTCGATTCTGGATATTCAAAACTGCAATTCTAATTTTGATTTGTCAAATTTTGAATTCTACGTTAATCATATGCATCTCTCTTCGTTTCTATCAATCTCAAAATGCATGATTCAATTTTAGGTTCAAAAATAAACCTGGTCTCACGTTTGAAAGTGCAAGAAATCTAGCAGACCAAGAGCTGGATATAACTTATGATCCAAATGGAACATTGGCTTATCCCGTTCTGTATGTTGAAAGCTCGACAGATTGAATTTAGTTTAATTTTGCTTTTCTACGGTTTCTTAGTGTTGCTCGTTTTTCAAATGTAAATCATCTATCGTTATATTTTTCGCACAATTATGGTGCAGAAACGACGAAGATTTATTATATTGGTTTGCGTGGAGAGTTTCTTGGAGTAAGAAGACTTAATTTTTCTCTCATATATTCTAGCCACATGATTAATTCTACTTTAGGGACATCGTCAAGAAATTGTGATTGCAAATTACGAATCCAAACCACAATTGAGTGATCATAAAACTGACCTTTTTCAAACTACTCTTCACCAAATTCAACATTGAGATGTTTTTCGTCTATTTATAATCCATTCTTGTATTTTTCTCTCTGTAATAAATTTTTCACGGTTTTATATATGACAGAAGTATTTCAACTTCGACAGTTGCTCTTCAACTCCACCACTGGTACAATGGAGAATTGTCGTTTGCCAAGTGGACACGTTCCTTTTATTAGCAGGCGCTCTTACTTCCATCTTGAAATCACTAGGTATCGATGAGACTATATTTAGCAGTTAAAAACCTCCTTTGGAAAAATTAAACTTCTGGTCATTGTGCGTTTTATATAAATTTTCCAGTTTCACTTTTTTTCTAATACTAACGACGGACCATCCGGGGTTATAAATCGATTTCGAGTTGAGGCTATTTTTGTTAGAAAGGCCCTAACGAGAACAACGACACACTAATATAACTGAGGATTATCTTGTTAGCTTAAGAATATTCGTGAAATACCTCTCAGCATCTCCATTACTTTGCAAATTTTATAGAAGCAAAGAACTTTCAGCATCTTTTCTTCTGTTTTATCGGCTGCGATGGCCGAGCGGTTAAGGCGTTAGACTTGAAATCTAATGGGATCTTCCCGCGCAGGTTCGAATCCTGCTTGCAGCGTATCTTTTTTCCTTTTAATATAGTTGATAGATAGATCATTGTTTGTTTTAGTGATTGATTATCTACTGATACTGGCTACAGATAAAAATCTGGCTAGTTGAGATAAACATGGAAGTGTTGACTAGAGATGTACACGGGTACCATTTTCGTACCCGACCCGAACATTTTTTTCCACCTATACCCGACGCGACAACTTTGTACCCGTACCCTACTCGACCCAAGAACTTTGTATCCGTGTCCGACCTTCATGTATTTTAGCTAAACTCCTGTATCTTTCCACTAAAATTTTGTGGGTTTCCCACTAAAACCTTCCGGTTTTCTGGTAAATAAAAAAAATATAACCCGTACCCATGTTGATGTAAGTATACGGCTTGGAGACGTAATGCGACACTTCAATGATCAAGACTTAATATCAGATTCTGTAAAGCGTAGTCGATAGTATATGCAAACATATTTTTTAGTCCCCTATAGACTAAAGGTTCGAGGTTATAAGACATTCAATAATCGTTTGCAAACATCGCGTACACAGTGTTTTGAGCGAGCTACTTTTGTAAACCTTCGGCACTGCCAAGTATGTCATTCGAAGTGGTGTTCTGTATCGCTCAATATACTATCTTATCTAAAGTTTATTTTAGCCGTTGAAAAAAACTTTTTTCATTCTTCCTATTCTGATGGTAATTGAAACAATAGTTGATAATTCATGATGTCACGCCATTACCAAAAGACCATTTTTTAAATTTTCATCCAAGTTTTATAACGGTGTGACATCATGAATTATCAACTATTGTTTCAATTACCATCAGAATAGGAAGAATGAAAAAAGTTTTTTTCAACGGCTAAAATAAACTTTAGATAAGATAGTATATTGAGCGATAAAAAGCACGACTTCGAATGGCATACTTGGTAGTGCCTAAGGTTTACAAAAGTAGCTAGTAGAAATGCTCACTTGATTTAATCATAAATTTAAATGCTACTAATCCTCTATAAATAACTCATTTAAATTGTATTATTACTTCATTAAAAAATTTCACAATTTGATTTAAATAGGGGCGGCCTAATGTACGTTAACTATCTTAGAAGCTCTAAATTGTTGAATTAGTTATCAAAAAGCTACTGGTGTGATATCAATTAATGAGCAACTCTTAACATCTACATATATGGATGGACGTTGAGGCGAAACTCATTTATTTACCATTACTTAGACTAGCATTTTGATTAAAACACAGTGCATGTATTGTGTTAGTTCAGTATGAGTTTTCCTAGTTATGGAGCATACACTACTTCAAAATTTGCATTTGAAGCAGACTTGAAATAAAAAGCGATCGTTCCGTTAGGCTTATAGTGATTGCGGTGATAGTGACACAGCAATAGGATCTCCAAAGCCTCTAAATTACAATGCCCATGCACTCCCACAAATTATCGTTATTAGAAGAAACTAGCCGCTATTCCTTTTGATTGAAGCGTTTCTGTTATCTTTCTGTCATATTTTCTTTCATATTCTTAAAGTTCCTGCTTAGACAATATATTCTTATCCTTCATACTGAGCACATGAATGATGATGACACATCATGATGTGAATATGTTTTGATAATTAACTTATATGTATAAAAAATTATTATCAACCGTATATTAAAAGAGAATATTTCCATGAGTTTTCAAAACATATTCCCATCAATTAAAGATTGATGTTTCATCATCATTCATGTGCCCAGTATAAAGGATAAAAATACATTCTGTAAACATATTCAAACAGCTTTCGAATGTTAGAATGGAAGCGATAAAATTATAAAAAATTATTAAGCGATAAAAATGTGACGGTTCTAATCATGGAAAAGATAGTGAATTGATTTCTTATAAAGGAGAGAATCAGATATATCTATAACATAGGTTTACAAGAATTATATCAATCGACGGCATATTGTCTGACCTTGAATTTTAAACTATATAAGTCACAAATATGCGTTAAATCTATCTGTCAGTTAACCAAGTGATATCAGAGACACTCAAAGCAGGTCACTGTAGAGTTTTTCCTTTCCGAAGTCTCATTCTTATGAACATGTAATTCCTTATAGTTTGTTCGTCGTTAACAAATAGGGATGCTAACGCACTTTTTCGAATCATTACTTTACCGAATGATAAGTAATAAAACCGATTAGTTATTATAAGAAAACTACTAGTAATTTCTTTTTACATCACGAAAAATTATTCTTCTGGTAGCTAATAGTATCGTTACTGTTGAAAAGAATATCCCTAATGTTATGATTGCTAATCTGACACCACGATGGACTTATGTTCGCCCTGGATAGAAACTCACTTTCGCACTTAGTTTTTTTTCTTCTAGGTCTAGTCTGCAAAAATCTAATAGATTACTGCAAGATCATCAGGATACATCAGGATAATTTTACATCAGGATCCGAAAGAAGGACAATCTAATTCATCTAATTCTGCTGACAACTGTTCTAAAGACACTTCATCTACTACATGTGTTAACAATACATAATTAGCCAGTGTTTTCGATAGTAGTTTTGGCGAGGGGTGGCGTGCCTGCTGAGTAACTAAAGTTTCTCATTGAGTAAACGCATCTTTTGATTAAAATGTTTTCTGGGTAACTGAGTTACTCAGAAGCGGGAAAAAATCTCTCACTCAGGCAGATTAGAAAAGGCAGTTTCTCTACTTAAATTTCTTAAAAAATTTGAGTAAGTCAAAATTTTTTGAGTAACTGTATCTAAACGAGGGGGTGGTATGCCACCTCCTACCACCTCCTAATCGATAACGCTGTAATTAGCAACACCATTATTTATAGCAGAGAGAAAATTTGATAATTACAGTGAAAAGATTAGATGACGATTGTTAAGTCAAGATCCAATTGCACATCGAATCGAAGATGAGAAAATCAAGATTTGAAAAGATGCTGATGTTGTAGGAGGAGATTACGGTTCGTCTTTATCGATTTTTGCTAATAATCAAAGTACAGTAGAGAGGCCAGACCCTTTGACTGCCATCGTAGTTCGTTCTTTAGCTGAGAAAACCGATCTTGCGCATATTTCGCCAGCGATCCTCAATTTTATTCACAAACGGCTGAGAAGCAATTGGAATCGTTCAGTAATTCTACAAATATACCTGGTGATTGGCTAACTAAACTCGATTTATCTTCTTCTGCACTCTTAAAAAAGAAACGTATCTTAGAAAACCAAAAGGGTTTTTAGTTTTCGTTCCAAACCTGAAAAGGGTTTATTTCAAACATGAAAAACTAAAAAGCGTTTTGTAATTACTACAAAACGCTTTGGTTTCGTACAAAACGGTATTTCTAATTTTTTGTAATAATAACTGAGTATTGTACAATACGGTTGAAGTTTTTGAATTAGCAGGAAATACCAACACAGTTTTCCGGCCTTCTGTGAAACCCTCTTCAGTTTATCTGTTCCTCGAACAATCGCAGCTGATTTAGTAGGGTTTCGGAACGAAATTTCGGTTTCAGATCTTAAACCTCTTAAACTCTTCCCCTGTGTGTGCGTAGCATGAAAGTGAGTCACCACATAACATTTCATTTTGAGTCTCGGAATAGTTATGCGTATATGCAACAAGTGTTAGCTGTTTTTTTAAAAACTATTCTAGAAAGGAAGTTTCTGTGAGACGTGCAAGTATACTATGTTTAACTACTACCTGATGATTGTTTTTAAATGTGTTATCTAAATGATCTTTTGTTAGTAATTTACGAATGAATTTATAACTTAATATTATGTGCAATTGAGTTTATTTCGTACCATCAGAGAAAAAGCAGAATCATGTTTTACTTCTTATCTTCATTTTATTATACATTCCGAGCCAAACCATAATACTACTATGGTACTAGTAAGTATCATCATTCAAAATATCAGACATGACAAAAAAATGTTTACATTTTTTTCATATTATCTGTTCTATAAATAAATCAATAACTGCACTTTTGCCAACTGAGGAATGTATTTAGACTAACACAGTGGAATGACAGTATGGACCTAATTTCAGGCATTCACCGTGACACCAAGTAATAGTCAATACCAGAGGAAAGTTTAAGCGGTTTAAGATCTGAAATCGAAATTTCTACGACAGCTCTAGATGTTGGTGATGCCAGGCCGAGAAAACAAGGCTCGTACTGTCCCTTAAACCCGGAAAGGAAGGCAGAATGAAATTCGATAGACTACCGAGATGCTCAAAAGTGAAGTAGTCGAGCCTAGTTTTGGATTATGGGCCAGTCCTGTTACCTTAGACCCAAAAAAGGATGGTACACTTCGTTTCTGTATCGATTTTTGTTATGGCAGCATGGCTTGATAGTTATGTCGTTCGTCACGTATTTCAAAGGTACTGTGTTCGAACCTCGGCGCTAGCAAAGTTATGTGATAACCTTGGACGAGTTATTTATGTCTCAGTGCCTCGGATCACCTATCTGGCAGCATACTCACTACCTTGTGGCGTACAATACAGCTTCTCCGCTAGTCCTTGTGGCTTTTCGGAAAGCTAGTACGTGGTTAGTGAAAGGTGTATGGGGAGCCCAGAACTCTCGTCAGGCTAGCGACGAATAACGAGATGGGTGACCATTTCAGAAGCTTGTCAATTGCAAGGAAGATATCGGGCTATTGAAACTGCCACGGCAGCACCCTACACCGGTAATGGTAGCTGCAAGGCGAGATATTCCTGTTTACTTGCAGTGCTTTTGGTAGTGATTCACTTCCTCTTTCGGATATTTTATTGTTGCTTCCAATAACTGTATTATATCCTAAGCGCCCCGACTCATGTTGAACAATTCAACCAACGTCGACCATAATTATACACAAGGAAAGAGAAAAACTTCAAACAAAAACAGAATTAATGTCCTTAATGTCTGAATCACTCTACAGGACCGCTACCCCATCTTGGTGCAACGCTACTCTCAGTTTCTCACTTCCTCTCACGGGTATTTGGTTGTTTCCAAGATCAAGTTGAGTGAGAGTGTTTACTTTCAGTGCTTCTGCTAGTGCTTCACCTCCTCTATCGGATATTTTGTTCCATTCAAGATCAAGTTGAGTGAGAGTGTTGTTTACTTTCAATGCTTCTGCTAGTGCTTCACCTCCTCTATCGGATATTTGGTTGTTTCCAAGATCAAGTTGAGTGAGAGCGTTGTTTACTTTCAGTGCTTCTGCTAGTGCTTCACCTCCTCTATCGGATATTTGGTTGTTTTCAAGATCAAGCTGAGTGAGAGTGTTGTTTACTTTCAATGCTTCTGCTAGTGCTTCACCTCCTCTATCGGATATTTCGTTCTCTCCAAGATCAAGTTGAGTGAGAGTGTTGTTTACATTCAGCGCTTTTGCTAGTGCTTCACCTCCTCTATCGGATATTTGGTTGTTTCCAAGATCAAGTTGAGTGAGAATGTTGTTTACTTTCAATGCTTCTGCTAGTGCTTCACCTCCTCTATCGGATATTTGGTTGTTTCCAAGATCAAGTTGAGTGAGAGTGTTGTTTACATTCAGCGCTTTTGCTAGTGCTTCACCTCCTCTATCGGATATTTCGTTCTCTCCAAGATCAAGTTGAGTGAGAGTGTTGTTTACTTTTAGTGCTTCTGCTAGTGCTTCACTTCCTCTATCGGATATTCGGTTACTTCCAAGAACAAGTCGAGTAAGAGTAGTGTCTACTTTCAGTGCTTCTGCTAGTGCTTCACCTCCTCTGTCGGATATTTTGTTCCATCCAAGATCAAGTTGAGTGAGAGTGTTGTTTACTTTCAATGCTTCTGCTAGTGCTTCACCTCCTCTATCGGATATTTTGTTCCATCCAAGATCAAGTTGAGTGAGAGTGTTGTTTACTTTTAGTGCTTCTGCTAGTGCTTCACCTCCTCTATCGAATATTCGGTTACTTCCAAGAACAAGTCGAGTAAGAGTATTGTTTACTTTCAGTGCTTCTGCTAGTGCTTCAGCTCCTCTATCGGATATTTGGTTATTGCGAAGAACAAGTCGAGTGAGAGTATTGTTTACTTTCAATGCTTTTGCTAGTGCTTCACCTCCTCTATCGGATATTTGGTTGTTTCTAAGATCAAGTTGTGTAAGAGTCTTGTTTACGCTCCACCCGTTTACAACGATAATAGTGATTATTTCAGAAGTGTTTTGAGCCGTTCTGTCATTGAAATCGCTTAATTCCATGCACAGCGCTAGTGACGATAGTTGTGTCATACAGGACAACTGTGGCACCAGTACTTTGATCACTTGCTCTGGTTTGACGTCGAGCAAGGATAAGGAGCGAAGATTCACCAATACGTTCTCGGAAAAGTGGGTGAGGAACAAGCCAAAGTAATCGGAGGTATGTTCAGACACACACAGAGAACGAATTTGAGCCGTTGATGGAAAGTGTGCGCAGATAAAGTCATATCTGGATTTGCTGATACAATGAAAGTTCAGATCAAACTGTAGATTGCCGACTAGTCCATCGAAACGATCGTTTAGTCGAAGGAATGAATGAAGAATATCATAAGCCTGCAAATACTCGAAGATTTCAAGAACCACTTCGTTCGGCAGCGATTGAAACTGTGTCACATCTAAAGAAATGCGCATTGTCGATAGTTCTCATTCTTGGTCTCGAGCTCTCTTGTAGGAAGAGAGCCTCTGAAGCATAGAGGAGAGGGAATGACAAGCTGCATACTCACTCTCGAATATGACTAGTTGTGTTACATTCAGTGATTGTTCTTTCGAGTATTAGGCATCATTTTATCCTCTCTGTGCAATATGGATAGAAAGCCAGCTATTAGCATTTTACTATTCTCATGATGTCATCTCTCTTTTCACTATTCTCAACGTATTGCAGTCATCATATTTGTGTGTCCCAATGAATGTGGTTGAAGAACACATGATCAACTTACCATTCTGTGCTTGGTTCAAACATTCATCGTTGCCACAAGTAGTGAGCAATCGATTTGATAAGTCATGCTGCATCCTTCTTTACGATAAGAAATCGACGTTTGTATTTATTTTGCTGTCACTTGTGATCAGAGGACTGAATAGACGCATGTTTTTGCCAACATCATTTAGGTATCATAGTGACATCATACCTTTCTGTCTTTCTTTCTGCTATGGTTGGTTATTCAACAGAAATGAAACTTGTTGTTTGAGTTGTCAAGGAGAATATGGTACGTCAAAAGTCCGCCTTTTTCGCCTCGGATTTAGAAAAAATGAATCTTTGCAGCAATAAAACAAAATTTAAAAAAGCGAGTCGTACTTTTGAAGCTGGGCTTTCAACTAGTCTGATAACGTGCAAATGAAGGCTTCAACGTTTAACACAAAAAATTAGATACGCCCGAACCTTGATACAAGCTTAGATGGATATTCTTTTTGTCTTTCTGTTCGTTCACACGATAAAATAGAAAAAGAGAAAATGGAAAGAAAAACATATATATTCAGAACGAAAAAAAAGAGAGAAAGTAATAAAA